CGGCACGACGTGGGTGCGGGGTGTGGTTGCCCATAGTAGGAGGCCCTTGCTCCTGCGGAGACCCTAGCCCTGGTCAGACTCTTGGCCCTATATCCCTCATTCTAACGCCTCTGTGTTTGAATCACCATCATCCCGTCCATGGTGCAGTCACTCACACTGGTGCAAAGTCAGCAGAGAAAGCTTCCTGGTCAAAAGCACAGCCTTTAATGCTGCCTTTGCATCACTGTACTGGACAGTGCGAGGGTCAGTGTAGCAGCAAGCTGGTGTTTATCAAAGAACTAGTTTTCTGTCACACACTCCTCTCACCAGCCTCAGAGGAAAATCTTCACAATCATCTTGGTCAAATACTAAATCAGGTCAAAAGTTCTCTAAGATCACTTAACCTCAAGGGCCAGATCCTTGGCTGGTATAAACTGGCAAAAGCTCCACTGAACTACACCAGCTGGCTACAAAGGGAGAGGTTTATACTGCATTGTTAGAGGGCCATAAGAGTCTGCAATGCAAAATGTTTTCAAAGTGTCTCTCCTCCTGAAAGGATACGCTGGAAGGGTGGGGTGAAGGAGGACATACATTTTTCACAAGTCTTAGAACTGTTGTTTCCCTACTTTTCTCCGCTGCCCCAAAATATGGTTGTATCCTATCTTGCTGTATACAGAAATGGAGAGGAGCAGAAGCAGAATCCCAGATCAAAAAGATCAAAATATTGACTCAACCTGTGACCCTGCATATTTCCCCGTCTCACACATGTTGCCTTGGGAAGACACAGTACAGGGTACCAGGAAAGATGGGCCCCTCTTAGGGGCTCTGCCAGGGAAGGAGGACCGAGATCACCAGGCAGAGAGGGTTAGTCAGTCAGACATGCACCCTTTTTACCTGCCCCCTGTGTGAGAGAGGTGTATGGAAGTGTGGGTGTGTGAACCCCCTCCCGTGTGAACACTAAAGCCATAAAGAAGGTAAATAAACAGAATCCAATTACCCAGTATTTCTTTCTAACAGGGGCTCAGTCAACTCCATGCTATTTTGAACATTTGTATCATTGATTGGAGTTGAATTTGTTTGAATATGAATAATTTTAATAGGTGTCCAAGATTAAGATCGGGTGACCGCATATCCCTAAGCAGAAACTAATGATTTTTAAATTTTTTCCTTTGTGGACCCCTAAAAATTTTTTCAAATAGCAGTACAGGCCCATTGGCAATCTTAGACATGGTCTACGGATCCCAGGGATCTGCAGACCACAGGTTGAAAACCATTCTTAAACCAAACCAACACAAAACCACCTTTTAGATAGAACATATTGAGTTAGGGGTACGCCTAGCTAAACTGTTGTCTTTGGACTATTATGGCAGATCTCATTCATGTGTGAATTCCATTGAAATATCAGGGGGATGTCTCACAGAGTTGTCTTCAGGAATCAGGGCTCCTGGAGGGAGCAGCAGGTGCATTGTTGGGTGCTATGCAGATGATGCCCATCCCTGTCCCACTCAACTTACAGTCTAGGCAGACAAGAGAAACCATACCAGACAAAGCAAAAATATATTTTTTAAAGGGCAAAACTTTTTTATGGTTTATATAAGAAGAAAAGATTTCTCACATCCATTCCATCCTTCTGTGGAGCAAGGCCAGCCCTGGTGTTCAGGTGCATTGTTGGGTGCTATGCAGATGATGCCCATCCCTGTCCCACTCAACTTACAGTCTAGGCAGACAAGAGAAACCATACCAGACAAAGCAAAAATATATTTTTTAAAGGGCAAAACTTTTTTATGGTTTATATAAGAAGAAAAGATTTCTCACATCCATTCCATCCTTCTGTGGAGCAAGGCCAGCCCTGGTGTTCAACCCAACATGTATGCCCCTTGGTAACTAATTAGGCATGGCCATTTAAATTTGTTCCAACTCAATAGTATCAGTGATCATCTGTATTTCTTTTAGAGATTCAGCTCTTGGGAGTCTTTATTAATATTTATTACTAGAAGATTTACCCAGCATTTCTTGGGACAGCAGTTTCCCTGTACAAATTGGGATGGGGAAAGCTTCAGACCCAAAAGGGCACCGGGGCAGTGGAAGGCTTGGATGGGGCTGGGGGTGAGGAATTTAGGATGCAGGCTACCCTGCAGAGAGAGACCTATCCAAGCCCTCTCTCACAGAAGCAGATTGGGTCCAGGTGGGATGCACCTCACCATGGCTGCCGCAGCTCAAGTGGGCACAGTCAGGGGAGAGGTGCATGTCCCCACAGCTGGGGTAGGTCCAGATTTGTCTGACTGCTGCACTCCCCAGCCAGAGTGAGGAATGCAGCAAGGCAACAGCTAGCAATGCTCCCATACATTACAAAATTGGGGAGGGGCAGCCCCTCCCCCACCCTTTTTAAAGTGCATCTGGGAGGTGGGAGGCTCAGGACTAGGACAATCCCGAATAGGGGGGAGGGGCAAGTCCCCAGCCAGCCCATTTCACCTGCCTGGTGATTCTGTCTCTTTGTTGTATGGTTTTATGTATCCCTGTATGAATCAGAGGGAGAGGGGGGAGCTTTAGCCCCCTCCCCACCCTCTCTAAAGAGTGCCTGGGGGGTGGGAGACTTGCGGCTAAGGAAGTCTTGGACAGCCCCTTTCACCTGCCTGGTGATTCTGTCTCTTTTCTTTATGGTTTTATGAGAAGCAATCCCATTCTAGACACATCCCCTTTTCTTGGCACAACCAAACCCTGTCCTTGCTTTAAGTTAGGATAGGAGGAAGCTGCATACTGAATTTGGTGGTCCTACCATTTAGGAGGAGTTCTTGAACAAACAGACACACTTACAGATCTCAGCCCATCACCGCTAGCATTGGTAGTTCATAACCCCAGCACCTCTGGGCTTGCTGAATCAGTTATGAAAGTTAAAAAAAAAAAAAAAGAAATTGCTTGAGCCCCAGCACCTAATTGCTTGAGCCCTGGCACCTCATTCATTACAAATTAAGCCCTGTTTAAATGGCATGCTGAGCAGCCAGTGTTCTCAATGAGAGCAGCTCAGTGCTAAGCAGTTACGAAAAATCTGGCCCCAGTTTTGAAAAGTAAAGCCAGAATTTTCCAAATACTCAGTTCAGCACAAGGAGAAGGAGATAAACTAAAAAGAACGTTCCTTAGATCACTAGAATGCATTAACTCAGATACCACTGAGGGCTTTTTCACAGCTAAAAAACATGTTTCTATACCATGCTCCTCTGTGCCCAGTATCAAGAGTATGCTGACATGTTCCCAGGACTTGCCAGGTGAAATTTGTTTTACATTGCAAGCCCAATGAAGCACCCTTGTTAGGTGGTTAAAGGGTTAACATGGGCTTTGCATGGTTTTATTTCCTCTCCCTGGGCACACGGACCCGTCAGAAAAATGGGAGAGAAGAAAAGAGTATTTGCCACTTGGCATGAAGCTGCTTATCTGCCTTCAAAAGTGTTTTTTATTTTGGACTGGAAGAAAGGGTTACTTGAGGTGAAAGGAGGTCCGAATGTCGGCACAACAAAAGCCCCATTCCCTTTCCTCTCCAGAGAGGGGGAGGGGAGAAAGACGCACAAAAGAAGAAAGACAGACACTCAACTATATATAGACAGAGAGGAAGAGGTGTTAGACCCAGACAGAGTGAGCCTCTTCACTACTGGCCAGTAAAGCAAGTCTCCATCTGACAGTCTCAGCAGAACTTTGGCATGTGGCTTGTTGACAGAAGCAACCGTGGAAGGCACAAGACAAAACCAGAAAGAGCAGCTAGAACTGCAGCTAAGCTCACCAGCAGAAAGGCAGAGTCCCGAACCAGGTTCCAGAACTAAAGCCCATGGAGCACTTGCTAGTGGTCAGGAGAGAAGCAACTGGTGACACGGGAACATCAGCTTGTGACAAATTCAGTGTGCATCTCTACTGAAACCAATAGAGCTGCCCAATGTCAGGCTGAAGAGAGACAGTATGACCCTGACTACCCCAGGGTAATGGCCCGGTGCTAACCACAGTATATTCATCCTTCCTTTCCTATCCTTCTTAGGTCTAACAATTGTTGAAACCTTTAGCTGCTAGTGTAAATCGGACAAAACAATGTGATGTTGTTACAAAAAGTATGATGTGATTGGGTTTCTATCATATGTCCAGTAACTTCACAGAATACATTTTTGCCCGGTATGCCTGCATCTGAACAATTTTTTGTATTCCAGTTACAGAGTAAAAGAGTGGGAAAAGACTGCTCATCCCTATTGTCAGCAGTGGATTATTATCCATGCATGGAGCCTTTGAAATTCCCCGGTAGTGAAACAGACGGATGCAGACAATCAGAGCTGCACAAATAAAGGAAAACAGAGTCTATCCTCCTAAATCACTGTATATTGTTCTTAGAAGCTTTTGTCCATAAATCTCAGTTAAAACCATAAGCAGAATGCTAATTGGATTGGATACGTGTATCTGGATTTTTGCACAAGCTTTCACACATGTAGGGCACAGACTGAGCATGCAGTAGTAAGAAAATGGCCTGGTAAAATCATTATGACAACTGCATTCTTGTATCACTTCCCAGCAGTCCCCCTACCCCACATCTGAGATGAGAGTTTTCCACCCAGCAGATACATGATACCAGAGCATATAATATGGCACTTACAGTCAGAGAGATGTTTAGAATGAGCTCTGTCTATGAGCTGCCTAGTGCTGTGAACAGCCCACCATGGACATAGGACCAAGTGCTCTTAAAAGTCACTTGTTTATCCACAGGGATGAAGCAGGTTTGTTTGTGTCTCAGTTAATGTGTCTTTGGAGAATATTTCCTTCTGCATGCCCATTCTGTTTCCCCTATGTGCAGGTAGCCAATCAGTGAAAGACAAAAAATACCAGAGCTACTTACTGAAGTAGAAGCCCCTGTCCCCACAGACAAATTGCAGTGTGTCTACTAGTTCCCCACCACAGAGAGTTTCAGCAGTGCCATATGCCAACGTGGAGTCCACCGTGTATGCCAGGAAGGTGAGTGCGAGCAGCAGTATCCGCCTAGAGGCACACATCCTCTGTACCTGAGAGACACAAATTCAAAATGTTAACTGTGGTGCAAAAACCTACTACGGTGTTTTCTAGGCACCTAGCACAGCATGCATGGGAGAGCATGTCACTGTGTAAGGAGAAGCGTGTGCTCTTTAGCTTATTTGCAAAGCATTTGGACTCTTCTGGCAGTGGTTAAAAATGAGCAATTGCCAGACAACATTCATCTTGCCATGTGCATACAACTGGCTCCCTCAAAGTAACACATTTTCTGTCACCCAAGTCCTCCATCAAGTCCTCTGAGGGAAGTTCTCATTTTTGTCATGACCAAGGACAAGTGGCCTTAGTTGCTGCCATCAGATATTTCTTCTCCCTGTGCTCAGCCAGTCACAGCGTCTGAGCTTTGAATACACTCTTTGGGAGGCTAAAGGTGGGGTTACAAAAAGATCCCTTCTCATTTTCTTCCTTCTGGAAATCCCGTGTTATTCTTTCATGCACTTCATACACTAAGGGTGTGTCTAGACTACATGCCTCCTTCGACGGAGGCATGTAGATTAGCCAGCTCGGAAGAGGGAAATGAAGCCGCGATTAAAATAATCGCGGCTTCATTTAAATTTAAATGGCTGCCCCGATCTGCCGATCAGCTGTTTGTCGGCAGATCGGGGGAGTCTGGACGCGATGCCCCGACAAAGAAGCCTTTCTTCATCGACACAGGTAAGCCTCGTGAAACCAGG